TTGGTAAAAGAGTAGCCCAAGAGTTGGCGGTGGGTGGTGATGACTAGCTGCCTTCCCTCTAGTCTTACACTGCTAAATTAGGGACGGCTAGCGCAGATAGCCCTCGTGTAGCTTTGCGCGAAATTCAAAAACAAACAAACAAACAAACCATTTAGAAATGAAAAAAAAAAAGAAAGAAAGATTAGGCTCACTCATTAATTTATATTTCAGTTTTAATACATTAATTTTACCTTGAAGCTCAGGAATCATTCACTCTTTACAAATAATTTACGGTGAGAATAATGAAAAGTAGAAAAAGGCGTGGTAGGACATTCCCTAAGGTGAATCTATAATATAGAAACACCACTATTCTATTAATATTTTTATTTATTTATTATATTCAAGCCATTACACAGCTTGATACTGTAATATAGTGATGAACATACTCTGACACAAAGGGTGGGATAGAAAAATAACCATTTCATTACATAAATGTTTCAAATAGCTAAATTATCACTTAAGAATGAACAAGTTGACTTATTGTTTGTCTTACCTATGGTTTAAACTACTACAATGGAACATTATAAAATAAGTCAAGTTGTATTGTTTTTACGGCAGACTGTTAAAATTCAAATGTATACCCATGTTGCATAGACAATATAAAGTTGAACATTATGAATGTTACTCTGAAATTCCATTCCTTGCGTTGTAGAAAGCTGATAATTAAAACTTTAGGATCAAATGAAAATAAGATTACATATTATAAACATTCGCAAGTATTCTATAATACAACAAATGCCATAAAGCATAAACCGACTCAATTATATCTCAAAATTAAGCTAGTTATTTTATATCAATATGACATATTTAAGTAGTAGTTGCTAACAACTATTCAGAACTGAAAAGTTAAACCGAATAGGATACGAAGTCATGTGATGGTGATTTAAACAACTAACATATCTGGCTCGAATAGAGCAACACTTAATTTCAATTTCAATAAATCATTTATACCAAAATGAAAAATTATAAAACTATCAATACTGATCTCCAAAACTGTAAGTGGTTTTTCTGATATTAATTAACTAAAAACAACCGACAATAAGATAACTTAATGTTGCGAGATTAAGTAGGATTAGTAGATTACAGCTTAGTAGATTAGAGAGTCAGCTTCACAAGCTGGCACATTTCAATCTTGCTAGATCTCGTTCACAAACATATTATTAGCCGGTTTCCTGTTGGAAGATTTAGAAAAGTTAGTAAAGGTGGCCAAGTATCTTCAGCACATATAAACTATTTACTGCTTTGACTAATGTTTACACTGGTACGCCACCTGAAGTAGAAAGAAGATTAGAATACTATCTCCACAAATATCTGCATACCTTGTTTCTTCAGCACGTATAAATCTCCGATTAAACTTTACGTTTTATAGGGAAAATGTAAATATTTCTAATCGGAAGTTTAGGTAACAAGTAACGTTGTCCATTGCTTCTACGATACAGAGTCATTATTGTTTATATTGAATAAACCTTTATTAGTAATAGATAGAAATATGTTTGCCAGATAAAAGTTATAATTTTGCCTTATATTTACAGAGAATTCCATTTCAAAACATCACCCGCCTTTCCAATGGAGAATATGTTGAAGGGGGATTTACATTTGAGATAATAAACCAACTTTCTTCCTTTTTCAACTTTAGGTAAGTTTATTTTGTCACTGTCAATCTTGATCTTAGCACAGGAAACAGTTGCAGGTTAGAACTCCCAAGAAAACGATGTAAGCTTGTTATTCAAACTGCTAAGTAAATATCACAAAATATTTTTATCGCGTGATTCGTATAGCTAGACATGCAAAACATTAGCACGTAATAAGATCTGCAGACAGTTTGGTATTTATTAGTAGTGGGTTTTAGATTAAATAACATGTTAAATAATGAAACGAACAATAAAACTAAAATACAGTATCTGAGGTTCCAGGTGCAGATGTAAACTTTGGGAAAGGGCAGGAATTTTGATATGTTAATCTTATTATTTCCCAAAACTTTTAATAGAAAAATATAGCTTATCCCGGAATATACTATTTATTCTATACTTTGTTTTCCTGAGAAAAGTTCTTATGAGATAAACAGCCGATTGTGACAATCACAACGTAAGTACTTAAGGTAAGAAAAATTAATTACTTCACTTGGAGGTAAAGTAGAAAAAAAAAGAAAGATCACTTTTCATAAATCTGTACATCAACAATGTTTTCGTCACTTTCTACTGATAGATCCATTAAAGACAGCCACATCCTCTATTGTATTCGTCTTCGTTATAATGGTGGTTTTTCCTCATATGCTTTGTGTTAAATTATTGGACGAAACCAGATCAATCTCGTTATTTGTTGGGTGTCTTGTAATAAATAGTCAAGGGATACAGAACAAACCTTACATTAAACTGTTCTCATGAGTTTGCTTTATTTGTTTTCGCTTTTTGAAGCAAATTACTTGGTGTAATTATAAATATATATGAACAGAAGCTCCTAGTCCAACAAGTTTACATATAACAAAGAAAAACTTTATATACAAGTCTATTTTGTATACAAAATAACAATAAGTCAATGTTAAAATATGAAAGTTCGTATGGCATAATGAAATGTATATATATATATAAGAGGCTAATGTCCTTCTGTCCACAAAACTCCTCCCACAGTTTAAGTTCGACTTGGATGAAACTTCGCATGATTTTTTTAATATCATAAGGGGAAGTTCCAAACAAAGTTCCAATACAATTGGGTGTTTTATAAAAAATTTATGTAACACATGTGTTCACTTTTTAAAGATATAAGTCAAAAATAACTTGATATCACCCCAAAATGAAACATGTTATAAAATAGACCCTCGCTAAAATTAAAAGACCAATAGGATTTTAACTGATAAATGGTACTCCTTTCCTTTTTAATAATGTATAGTAATTTTGTACATTTATTATTATCAACGAAATTAATTTTATAAATAAAACTTCTAAAATTGTGACGAAATGAGTTTAATGCAGAATATAAAAGTGCGTTTTCCTAGTGGTGAATAATTGTGATATGTCAGAAGAAAAGTGACTTTTTCTGCTGGAGAATTCAAGCGTACGTTATGAATTGAATTGTTCTGTGACCGAAGGAATCTCATGTCCTTCCTACGGAGTTTGTTGCGAATAAATGTTTTAGTAAATCGATCTTCGTAAGTTACACAAGTATTTTTTTTACTTCAGTATGAGTATAAAGTGATCAAAAGCATCGAAAATCACGATGCCAAAAATTTCCAAACGGAAAAGTGACTTATCACGGAGAAAGTCTGAAACTTTGAGAAAGAAAATGAAACGTCAGGATGTAAGTTACAGAAGTAAAGAGATAGACTTGCTCACCAAGTTATGAGGCAAGATACAGTGAAAAGAAGTCAGGAACAAACCCAAAATACACAAGCACATCAAGCTGCTCACCAAGATGCAGTTAGAAGTCAGGAGCAGTTTGGTGACAGAGAAGCACACCGTTCAGCTTGTCAAGATCCTGACCGAACAGCCACCTGTAGGGCAGGGTTTCTGCTAGTATATTATAATCTGTAAATTCCTAAACTGAACGTTAACTCGTACCAAAACAAATCCACATATTAAGTTCTGGTAAAATCAAATTTTGGAGTCAAAAGAAACAACAGTTGAGTGTAATAAAAAACAGTCAGAAACAAATTAAGTATGTGTTATACAGAAGTGTGGAAGATTAAACGACTTCTTAGTCCTTGAAAAGTTGCTTGGTTTGATTAAATCTTGAAGGATAAACGGAAGTGATGGTTAAGAAAACTCCCAAGGGATCTTGTATCTGATGCATATGAAAGCTCAGAATAGATTTTTAACTAATATCAAGAATCAGCAGTATCTAGCATCAACGACTTTCTATATATGTTAAAAAATTAAATTAGTGTGAACAAATCTTATTTATATGTATAAACATAAATTATCAACGATCAGAATTTATATATTTTTACCACTTATTTTACCACTGCGTTTATTGTTGATCAGTTTGTTTCTTTTAGATTTTCACTGAAAGCTACACAAGGAGTACTTGCGCATAGTTGTTCCAAAGTTTGAATTGGTAGGCTAGAGAAAATACAGTTATACAACAGCAACCATTCATGAGTTACTCTTGTTTCGTCGATTAGTAATATTTGACCTCAACTATTATAACGCACCCACAGTCTCAAAATGTAGAAAGCGTTTTTGCGAAATTGAGTCGAGAACGGTAAACAATAATCCACGCCAGGCCCTGATTAGACTTTACATAGTTATATAATCCTGACTGTGCCACTTAGATCCTTTTCTACATTCTTGTAATTCGAAGAAATTTCATTAGTAATAATTTTAACTATTTGCAAAAGTGATAAGATGTTATTATACGTTTGTATTTGTTTTACTTGTATTATAATATAAAAAAATAATAAACTAATTGCGAATAAAATCTATAGAAACTGCAGTGACTCCTTAGCTTTCTTATGAATAGTGAAGATAGAGTAGCTATGTTTTATTGGTTATTTATTTATTAGTTGTGATTATGCATGTGTACTTAGTGAATATCAGATGCATTTTAACGCAATAGAAACGGAATATTTCAACTCTTTCTGAAGTACTTTAATCAAAATTAACGTATCTGAAATTTACTTTTTTTAATAAATAACATTTTATAATGAATTTCAGTAGATATAGCATTCAAACGCATATTAGGCCTATGACTAACATAAGGCCTGTTCAAGCTATACGGTTAGTTAGGAAGGGCAATGATTCGACTGACATATTACGTCATATAGCTCACGATCATTTAACTTTTTCAAAAGAAAAAAGAAAACCGTCTGTCGAAGAACGTTTGCCGCATAAAAGGCAAATTCTTTTGTACTAATGAATGATTCAATATGCATGCTGTTTGCCAGCTAAAGTTTAGCGAGGAAAGCAGTCCAATGACAAGGTGCGTATTGCCAAGGTAATCAATATGCGCCATACTTTTTTACGTCGTAATTTTATGCTTTCCTTTCTCCAGTTTGAATTGTATATTTCATACCAAGCAGCATGACAAAATAACTACTTGAAAACTAGCAGTCTCTTATTCCTCGCCATTGATATTGTTTTTTGTTACTTATAATCATTGACAAGTAATTCCTTGACATTATAGAAGTACTAGTGACGTCATTAACTAGTCTAGGTATTAGAAGGTTTTGTTTTTCAGAGCATGTAACTGACATTCGTCAATCAGAAAAATGTCATCAAACACGTCTGTCATTCGTTTGATGACAATCACAGGGAAACTTCCAGGTGCAAAATTTCTTATATAAATGAATTAATCATGACACACGCAATTTATGTTTCTTTGTGTTAATCGATTTGCAAGCAACTGTTACATACAGTGTGACCCAAAAATAATATCGCTTTAGAACATGTATAGAAGACATTTATTTCCTAGCAGCTATCTCTATTCGGATAATATACTGCAAACACAAATGTAAATAAAGTAGAATAGGTCAATTCAGAGAAATATTTTCGTCATGTATAGTTGCTGTTACCATCACTCCTGTATTGACTTAAAATACAAAACAAAAATCATTAAATTTATGATGCATCTGATTACTATTAATTTTGGGTAACTCCGTAGATGTGACCTTAAAACGTGGATGTACATATTATACATAATCAATGAGATAACCTACAAAGTTTCATAAAAAAAACATTAATTTTAATACTTGAAACTGAACCAGAAATACATTTCCTTTATTGAATTTTCTATTCAAAAAACTTTAACAAATTAGAGATAATTAACTAAATTCAGATGTCTTTATTTGAAAATCACTCAAAACGCGTAAAATAAACGTTTGTCTCAATCGGATGGGTAAATATTGAAACACTTTTGTTAGGGCAAAATAAATAAATAAATAAGTTAAACAAAAAACTATTTTACAAATTGAAGGATTTCCCGATAGCGTAAACCTTATCAAATTTAAACTGGGTCAAAATGCATCTTAGGACTTAGCAACAGAGAGAAAGAGATAGTGCTTCCTTCTAAGGTTTAATGACATAATTGTTAGTTTAAAGTTTATGCATATTTCAAAAGTATGATAAGTAAAATTATATCTATGTATTGTATATGGTGTATGGAATTACGTATTTGAAGATCATATTCGTTCACGAGTATTTTCAAAATTTTTTGTCTAAGATTACAACATCGCGTATTGGCCTTATCATTAATAATAAAATCTACTTATCTACTTTCATGGGCGTCTTTTTATGCGAAAAACCAAATAGAAAAGAAATGTGACTGCCATAGTTCCAGGAGGAAAGAACCTAGAAACCTGAAATTTTTCATCCATATTTAGTGGCCCTGAGGGTGTGCACCTGGGTATTATTACTGATCCACGTACGTGATTGCATGCGCATCTTTTTATGAAGAGGCAAACAAGCGAAAAAACACGTAGAAAATATGTAGTTCCTTATATTACAAATAGAAATCAGAGACAGATACACACATGTGTGCGTGCGCGCGTGCACACGATCGTGTCTGTGTGTGTGTGATTACCATTGCTCAAAGAGAAAAGAACCTAGAAATCTGAAATTTTGCACCCATACTAAGTGGACCCTGAGTGTTTACACCTGGGTATTATTACTTATCTACGTGCGTGCGCATCTTTTTTATGCAAAAAATCCCATAGATAAGAAATGCGACCACCATAGCTCCAAGACGAAATAACCTAGAAACCTGAAATTTTGCACCCATACTAAGTGAACCCTGAAGGTCTGCACCTGGGTATTATTGCTTATTTTATCCACGTTTGTGCGTGCATGCACTTGCGTAACCTTTTAATGAAGCAAGCTAGCAAAAAAACCCATAAAAAAGAAGTGGTTCCTTATATAACAACTTCGTGTATTCAGAAAAGCCAATGCATTACAACAATGGCTTTTATATCAAGCTGCTTAGTAAAAAAAGTATAACCTCATATTGTTGTAAAGCGGATATGTGCTGAAAGTATAAAATTAAATGTATAAACTATAAAATTTAAAAAAGAATATTTGTTGTTTTCTAATTTACAGGATCCGTTAATTAAATAGGCTTGTTTTTTATTATTTGTTTTTATTATTTAATTTTAAAATAGGAGAGCAAGTCAGAGGAAAGGTTACCTTTTTAAGCAGGCCACGTCCCGTAAAGGAGCAACAAAAGTATATAGGTTATACTTTTATGCTAAAATGGGTTGAGAATACACACACTGACATAGCCATCTAGAATAAATCAACCTAATAACCCGAGCGAAGCCGGGTTCTTTCGCTAGTAAGATATAAATTGCTGAATTCAGCAATCCATTAAAGCAATCAATATAGACATTGTTATTTGAAATGTATGAGCAAAAATGTTTTTACTCTAAGGTATATAGAAAGAGCAATTTCTTAATAATAACTTACCATGGTATAATGTACATGAAAGGCTACACTAACGAACAACTAAGCCTTTAAATATCGAACCAAAAAGAAATACTACTGCTTAAATTTATGAAATATTAAGATAAATTCATATAAAGAAATAAATTATATATATTGTCAAAATTCAACAACAAGAAACATTTTGTACCAAGCAACTGTGCATTTCACATCATTTCAAATAAGCGTTCAGTTAACCAAAGAAGAAACATTTGGGAAATTCCAAGACGAAAATTAAACAAACCTCTAACCAACATATGATTATTCATTTTAGTGAATAATAAAGCAAAAAAAAAAAATGTTATATGCTCTTTGTGATTACTAATCATTTGGCCGAACAGGCTCCCCCTTTCAACAGTGGTGGATGTTATAATATGAGGGTCATTCCCTCTATTTGTTGGTAAAGAGTAGACCAAGAGTTGGCAGTGGTTAGTGTTGATTAGTTGTCTTTCCTCTTCAGTTCTATCTATTGTTTCTAAATTAGGGACAGCTAACGCGAAATTCAACAAATAAACAACAAAAAAGTTGTTTGCAAAAATAATTGTAAATTATTTTTGTATTTTACGTCAAAGGTCATGTAGCGCAATATCAATATGGACAGAATATTTGATAATCAGTATTTATATTTTATTTTAAACTAAACCATTATTGAAAGAAAATTGTCATCACGAAAGAAATCTTCATACAGTCTTATATCAATTCAACGTAAAAAAAATCTTAGAATCGGTGCCTAAATAGTTAAAATTTCTTAAAAATTAAATTGACTTACCTATCTATTTTATCTTTATCCAATTTTATTTCAAGTTAAAGCATTTTATATTTGACGTACTTGTGCAACATTCTATGTAAGGTGAATTTAGTTTTAAATACTGTTTTACTTGTCTATTTGTTGTTACTGTAGACAAAATAATTTTGTGGTATTGATTTATATTTTACAATTGGCTAAATTATAACTCGTAGTGCGTTTGATGAAAGGAAAAGTATTTTTTTAGGACAAAAATTACAACAAAAATTCTGAAATAGAACAGGCTCAGCAACGATCCACTGACACCCGTGAATCAACGCCTTGGCTTGAAAGTTCTCACAATATCTAAGTTAACTTTATTAGAGTTTGTCCACCACGAACGACCAACACAACTCAACAATGTGTCTGTATGGATTCCTTTGGGAAACGTTCCTCAGTATCCTCACTAATACTTTTGCCAGTTTATGTAGCTTGTTTTGTGGATATGCTAGACTTGAAATTTGTTCCTGAGATTGAAAAACAAAACACTAAATATAAATATTGACAGTCGGTGGTTGACATTTAAATGAATTTTAATATTTTTATGGGATGCACATTTTATTTAATTTTTATTTTATGTATCTCCTTTTCACATGCTTCATTGATTACTGCTGTTGTTTTTATTATTTAAAATAAGTAAAGTTGAATTATATTGAAAAACATTAAAATGAATTGAATTGAAATTACTTTAGATGTGTTTTAAGGAGCAGATCCTGAAAAAATGTTTACTAGTTCATTTTTACGATAATTTCTTCTTCAAAGCCAAAAATGATGATACGTGTACGATAGTAACGGACAAAAAATATCCAAACCCACCAGGATCTCTTACTTAAAACGCAAAACATTCACAACACATTCATAATGACTTACAGAGCAGCATGCCCTGTATAAGAAGTATTCCCACCAATCATACCATAATGATCATCATCGGAGTCAAGACCAAAAGTTTTGAGAGCACGCAATATAAGAAGCTCGTGTACTTAAGTTTCTCAAGAAGACACTCAACGCAAACAATAAAGGTTAAATAAAGTTACGCTTTAAAACATATTAAGAAAAAAGAGAGAATCCTAAGTTTTGCTTAGGCATTGTTCAAGTTTTTGTGCAGTGTGGGCAGATGTTGTGAAAGCTATATTATTAATTTAGTTAAAAATTATATAAAATTCTGGAAATTCTGATAGCTGTAAAATTGTATTAGTATTAAATCTTTGTGAGCCTTCTAAGTAGTTTTAACACAAAATTGCGAGATGAAGTTTTCTTTCCTAATATATTTCAAAGCTTTATTTTTCTTTTGCTCATTTAGAATTTCTTATTTATACGTTATACAGCTACAAGATAGTTATGCCTGAAGACAATGCTTTTGGAAAATTGAGGGATGAAAATGGAACAAAGAAGTGGAATGGTATGATCAAGCAGCTGTTAGATAAGGTAACAGTAAAGTTTCGTCTTTAGTATAGTGCATCTTCATTTTCATCAAAGGTAAGGTTCTATAACAGTAAGTCAAGCTTCTCACTAAATAATAAAGTGGATATTTATGTTTCATTTCAATACAATAATTTAAATGCCATGTTGTTGTTTTTATATTAGATTTGTTTCTTCACTTTTTTCTTTGTTGGTGTTGTAAATCTCTGCTGTCTATATGATGCGGGCCGTGAGTAGGCAATATAATTATGTTTCGGGTGTCAAACTACAAACGTTCAAAGCCACTGCTCCAGAGCCTATCTCACATCTTATTTAAACTATACGACCAAGACTTAAGAAGAAATATAACAACACTGAATTACGTAGGGTTTCCATCATTGGAAAATAACTCTTGATAGTATTAAGCTAACATTTTGACCTTTAATGATAACTCGTTTTAGTATTCCAAACTATAAGTTTCATTTATTTATATTTTTGAAGCAATACACGTAACATTTAATGATTTTTTTGGTGTTTCTAACATAAAATGTTACGTTAAATTTTTTTAAATAGAATTTCCTTTCAATCAATAGGAAGCTGACCTAGCGGCAGCCATGTTTACTATCACTGAGGATCGTAGAGAAGTGGTGGAATTTACAAAAAACATCTATTTAGATGGAATTGATATACTGATGCAGTATCCAAAAGAATCGGATAACACTAGTGCTCTACTTTCACCTTTTTCGATAAATGTAAGGATTCAGAAAATATTTGGAAATTACTCGTTTATTTTTCTTATGTATGTAAAGACTCAGATAATTCTCAGACACTGCCTGTTTTTTGTTGTTGTTTTCAATGTAACGACCCAAGTAACATTTGCTTATTGCTCGAATAACAATTAGACACTGCTCATTGTAATTTATTATTACATTTCTACTTAAAACTGAGTTAAAGTTAAAACTCGTTTCTTTTTAACGTCTTAGAAACAATTCACGTTTTGTCCCATTTTTATATTTTTTTAACAGTTGGAATCCCAGAAAAACAAATTTTCTTTGTGGTATGGAATATGAAACAATTTGAAGCAATAAAATTAAAAGATTGCTTTCATTAAAGTGATAGACAATATTATTTGTCTACTCTAGTATGCCAACAAATCTTGTGACATAATAACGTTATTTTCATGTGTTTTTGAGTTTACGATAATCTTTCTCTATTACCGAGTGCTACTCTTTTATCATTTTGTTTTAATTTATGCCTTATAGTGCCATTATTTTTCTTGTTTTTGTTTTTCCATGCCTAATTTTTCTCTCCTACTTTGATATTTTCTACCCATAATTGTGCTACTTATTAAACTATTATGAATTACTAATTTCGCGAACAAAAGGCATCTTTGGTTATTTATATATTTCGATCTTTCAGGTATGGGCAATGATCATTGCATCATTTTTTGCCATGGGACCAGTAATTTATGCCATACAAGTCTTGCAGCGTAAGCTGGTGAAACTAGATGAAACCACTGATCGAAAAAACCGGTTTACACTAGTAGAGTGTGTCTGGTTTGTTTATGCTGGGTTAGTGAAACAAGGTATGTTAAATGTGTCCAGTTTTTATTTTTTATTACAAATGTTAACAAATATGCATGTGATTTTGTTATTTCGCTTTAAATAAAATAATTTCAATGTTATTAGTTTTGATAAAATTCCAAGTAAAAATATGATTTCTATTTACATTTTGCTTATATCCATCTGCTGTTATTATACGCAACTCCATCTATGATTTACTGTGTCGTAAAAACACATAAACGGTAACTTTAGATTTTAACCCAGTAAGACATTTATGGTATGATATTAATGTAAAAGGGATATAGTATTTTAGATGTTTAACTATGAAATAATACTTTTATTTAATGACAAATTCCATTCCACGACCAGCTAAGTTGATTTCATTAGACCGATACATTTAAAACTGTAAGCTTAAAATAATTAAGACAAAGAATGGAAGCAGGGATCTTTTCTACTTTGAAAGCGACATGATAGTGCATACTTGTCAAACATAAGCGTCATTATGAAAAATAATTTATTCAATCAGCTGTTCGAAAAATCACCTGTCGTCAATATATATCAGCAATGCAAATATAAAATGTATATGTCTCTCAATGTTAAAATATTTGTGGACAGCAACTGCTGGTTGGTGACTAGGAATAAAAATGTTTGAACGAGTTTATAAGGTACAACAGATGTACCCAGTTGGTTAATGTCATCAAAAATAACTAGTGTTCAACTATTTCCCAATACAGCATGTGAAGGACATTACAAAGAAATTATATATGGCGCCCTAAAACAAGTACAAAAACAATTTATCTCAAATGGGACAGAAAAGTGCTGCTTCAGAGGTGCTTAGAACAAAAAATGTTGACAATACATAACTTATAGCGTGTGATGTGGAATAAAAAGTCACGTTTCACTCTTTTCTCTATGTTGGCAGTAGATTGAAAATATGGAGAAAACAACATGGGACATTTGACTATTTTCTTCTTCCAACACTGTAAGTTGCTGGTAGTGGTGCAATGGTGTGGGTAAGCAAATGGTAACACTTCATCAAAATTACTTTTAAGAACTCGTCAGTAACATTAGCGAAATCACCAGAACTAAAGCTGATTAGGCATCTTTGAGATAAGCTTGAACATCACATTTGGCATCATAATTCTCTGCTGATATCTACAAACTAATTTCACACCTTACACTTGGATTCAAGGGCTGAAATTAAGGAAGTCACCTTCTGGCATGTAGTAAAGTCTATGTTATGCTTATGTTCATGGTGTTATCGCAACGAAAGGTGATCCATCCTGTTATTAAATGGGTGATACTAATGAAATAATCATTTAATGTTTATCAGTTCTTATCACCCCAGTTAAGGAGGTGAACACAGTGTTATTCAAAGGAGCTTTATAAGCTCTTAAGTATGGGACATAGCTTAGTGCGATGCATGAAAATGATATCTTTTGATGTCAACAAAATATGATGAAAGGGCCAACTTTTATACATGTTTCGCAAAGATACAAAAGGAATAAAATATAATATTTTCATATACCTTTTGGTTCCTCAAAATATGCAAATGGCCCTCTTTTGTTTGCACTAAAAAGTGTTCAAAATCCAAACTTTTTACCATCAAAAGGTGAAAAAAGGCCATCATTTAAATATTTTGGAATTTCAAAAAAGGACACAAACAGGTAATAAAATTTTGACTTTTGCATACTAAGATATGCAAACAGATATGAAAAGGTTATCTTTTGGGAGATAAAAGAGGAGGGGAATAACATATACAAAACCTTAACAAAAGGTAAAGTACTGGTGTTCAAAAGGTGGAAACACGCAACAAAAGGTCAGTTACGGGTGTCCACAAAAATATAAACAGACCATTTTAACGCAAAAAAAGTAATAAAAGGTCGACTTTTAATTGTGAAAATATGCAACTATATGACAAAAGACTAACATTTTAATACAGAACGATGCAAACAGGTAACAAGGAGCAAATATTTTGTGAAGAAGATAGAAACAAGTAACAAAAAGTCAACTTTTGATTATAAAATTATAAAAACAAGTAACAAAAACCTGTCTTTTAATTGTAGAAAAGATGAAAACAAATAAAATAGGATTACTTTTGATTGAGAAAAAAGATGCAGAAAGGTAACAAATGACCAACTTTTGATTGCAAAAAGAAGACAAAAAAACTAACTTTTAATTGCAAAAAAAGATTCAACTGAATAATAAGATAACTTTTGATAACAAAAATGTAATAAAATATTAACTTCGGATTGCAAAGAAATGAAACAAGTAAGAAAAGATAAACTTTTGATTGCCAAAATATTTAATACACTCCACTTTTGATTACTAAAGAATGCAAACAAGTAACAAAACATAAGATTTTTGTTAGTTAAGGAAAGATGCGAACATATTATAATCCAAAAGTGATTTTTAAATATATCCCCCCCCAAATAACACATAACTAACAGAATTTCAAAGACGCAATAAGATTGCCAACGAAACGGTTTTGAAAGATGAATAGTACTAATTTGCACAGACAAAAAATGCAGCAATTTCCAACTTTGAAATCAGGTTTTGAAAATGAGAATAAGGACTGAGACAGTCAACATCTCTTTGGACGTTTGACAGCACCTCCTCCGCCAAAGTTCCTTATAGCTCTCTCATAGCTAACTTTTTGAGCAACTGATGATCGCATCCGCAACTACTACACTCGTAACACCTCGGACTTATTGCTACTTTACATTTATAGGTTAGTTTTGAAATCGACCTTTTTTCTATCTCAACAAGAAGATAAACTCAGAGATTCTGGCTAGTTATCTCAGTAGTTCCTCACAAGTTTCACAAAAAAGTTCGGGAATAGTGGGTGTTTCATAGATAATATGCTACAACAACGCCACGCCATTATATGAATTAGGGTAAAAATTTCACCCACTTTTACTGACAAAAACCAATCATAACTTCCTTGGATTTTATCCAGTTAATAAATAGACATACGTTCTTGGATTCCTCATAAAATAATGCATATTCTTGTAGATTTTCAGAATAAAAAAAAGCAATAAATGTCAGCTCCTACAAAGTGTCCTACAATTTCTGCTGTCATTTAGAAATTTCTGATGGAAATATTTGCCAGATGAACAAACAAATGTTGAAACAGACAGGTATGACATACAGGGGATAATTCCAATATACCCTAACATACATTTGTAACATAAAAATATTTGAAACCACACCATAACGTTTAAAATACTAAATTTAAATAAGTATTGACAAACATTACAAACATGTTTTTTTTTGCATATAGTATATTTAAAGTTGTTTTCATTTAACCTAGAATGATTGGCCAATTTTATATATTTTGAGGAACTAGAATAACTTCCTTATTGGCTTTTCATGTTTAATGAAAGTAAATAAAAGAGAAAATTTTGTTTATGGTTTGTTTATTGTTTCTGAGCAAAGCCACATTGGGCTATCAGCTGCGCCACCACGGGGAATCGAGCCCCGAATTTCAGCGTTTGTCAGGGTTTTAGTATCAATGGGCTGGGATTCTTTTACAGTAGGTGTCTGTGACTTGTTGGCGATAAATTCGAACAATAAACGGACAGCACACAATCTAAAATAATTTATTCAAAACAAGTCAAACATATGTACAAAATTCTTTACACTATATAATATCACAGTTGTATCTAAAACTCTAAATAATTCTCTTTTCTTGTTAAAAGTCCATACAGTCTGATTCAATTATCTAAGAATCAATTGACCAAACAAATTATTTTTCTCTACTCTGTTTCTTACTGTATAATCTGCGATAGATTCACTTACGTTACCCCGTGGGTTACCACAGCTGCGTCCAGAACTTTAAATAATTGTCTCCTTTTCACAGACGAGTTCAATTACTTTAGAACACCCTTTGACAAAACAAACTGTTCTCCTCATCTCTATTAAATTGTGAAACTCACTTTAAAATATCGCCCATTGCGGCTAAACTAACAATCATGCAGTCTGACTTCACTTCCACTAACTTAACGTTTTCTGATTTAACTTAACTTCAATTAACTTGCGCTCGCTTGGTCGCCTATATATATATATACATTGCCCAACTGAGGCCTGGAACTTTTAACAAACTACGAGATGCTATGATGTAACACTACTCAATTAAAACAACGAGAAATATACCAAAATTTCGAGTAACGTGACGTCAACAATATAACAAAAGCCTAGTACAAAATCAACCTGCATACTCAACATACGACTCGTACAGAGCTAAGTAACGAAACTTGTTATAACTAATACTTTTAAAATAATTAAATTTAACACTCTTGTTATGAAAACTAAACAATCAATGAATACTAATTCACAAAATAAACTACATTATAACTCATTATACTAAACAGTCTTATATAGCCAACAGCGTCGTAATTCCGTAGACTTCCCGCTGTCCCTGCTATCTCACACCTTTATTTATGGAAAAAATTAAATTATCTCTCTCTTTTTTGGATGTACGTCTTTGTTTTTCTTCCTCCATTTTTTATTTTTTTTGCCTTGCAGGCTCTTGTATCTTAACAAAGTACCCATCAACAAAAGAGTAAAATCATATACAGTTAGTCTATTTATCTATACATTTAAAATATTTAGAAATAAACAAATAAAGAAATGATGACATTAAAACAAGATCTTAAAGGCAAAAGTGGGAGAAATTTATTAAATGGAGTATAATTGGCATAAAAAACAAAGTGTTTCTAGGTCCCAAATGAGATTATTTTAGCATATTTTCCATAAAATGTTTACAAAACAACAATGAATATAAATATTTTTTGAAGGAACACATTCCTGTAAATTTTGACGGTAATTGCTGATAATTGGAGCGTTCAGAGATAAATTTATTATAAAACTGGATACTATATCTGGTTAAAATTTGAAGAAATTTCGCACAGTAATTTTGCTTATAACATCAAATAGCCAAATTCGTACTTTTGTAAAAGGCATAACTTTCTTAAATTTTGAAAAGATTTGGCAGTCTTGAAGCTTGTCTGAAATATTCTTCACATAAAGTTACTGACCAGATTTGGTTATACGACTGGTAAGGTATACTTACTAGTTGAAAATTCACAAATTCTTAAGTCCTTCAAGGGGCATAACTCTCGTGAATTTTTACTTGAACTTCTTACGTTGAAGATCTTACTAAGATAAAGAAGCCTTTAGTGTGTCAATCTAAATGAAACTGAAACAATGATTCTCATCTCAAATACACCAACATTTCGGTTAAATATGTTACACACAAATGTATACGTATTATTACAATTCCCTCATTAGTGCTCAAAAGAAACATAAAATATACATAAAAAGTAAGGCTTGTATTACTTACGATGTTATGAAATAGATTTACTGTTTGTACTCCCGTGTAAATCAAACTAATAGTTGTTTGAGCCTCGTGGTAAATCTCACAATATCATAAACTACGATCCATAGAATAATTTGTGTAGATTTCAAATATACATTTGAGCACACAAATATACATCAGTCACTAGAATTGAATGTACAAAACTACTATATTTTACGTGGGTTTCTAAGTAACCGTTAATAGTTAAAGAACGACTTTACTCATCATAAACTAATCAATTGGTAACTAACGTCATTCACGCCAAATTCAAAAGGACGGTTGTAAGAGGCGTATTCCAAAATTCAAAGGTACTCATTAGCTTGGAACTGCCATGACATAACAGTTGGTTCAACGGTAACTGTAAACCTGGAACGCTTTGTTAACTTTGTTCGCGTTTCCAAGATGGATGTTAAGCATAAGAGAAAAAAATTAAAATAATTGGAATTTGCGCAAAGTTGGAAGATAAATACAATAAATCAAAATCACTGAAAATAAGATAAGCCTGACGAAGACAGTTCCTCTAAGTGTCACTAAATAAAATAACTTTGTTTCTGTTTTAAAGGTTGTGTTTGTTGTTGTTTTTTTTTTTTACAGTACTTGTTTGCACCGGGGGGCGTTGTTACAGTAATTTTATTTTAAAAGAAAAAAATTGTAAGTTATTATCACAAGTGTCACGTCCCTTCCGTCATTGAACATGCTCGCCCTTTCAGCAGGGCTGTTGAGTTTGCTGAGCAAACGTTGAATCAGTGCTGGAAGTCAACGATCACAAAAGTTGACATTAGAAACAAACGGTGCCAACACTGAATGTCAACGTTGAATTTTGGAATGTGCCCAGTGTGATGTGTTAGTCAGCAACCGACAGTGTTTTGTATTTCAAAGTAAATTTTCTACAGAAACTCATAGTGTCTAAAATCGGACGTGTTGCTTTTCGTTTAGTTTTGATAATAGTAAAGTGATTGGATTTTACTCTACATTAATTTCATTGGTTCAATGCGCAATACTTTATTAAAGGGTCTGTTTAGTAGATGTTAAAATTAGACATAAGAATGAAAACAGGACTATATTACTATATATATAGATTGATCACATAAGAGTATATGTAATCCTTAAAGTCAAATTGTACTACATCATAATTATTGAAACATGTGTTAAATACGTAGATTTTGAATAATTTATTTATAGAACAATACGAATTATTCCTTTTCAGGACTACATATCTATAAGATAAACTAGTACAATTGTAAAAAGTATGTTATATGTTATGTTACGTATGACAATTTCTAATAGCCTAAACTGAGTTAAATTGTAATTTAGATTTAGTAGTTAAATATTTGTCGATATATCTCCAATTTATGATATTTGCCAACACGGTTTTCTTTTTTTTAATACAAATATGTTTTAATATACAAACAACAATACAATTTACAATAAC